TTAATGGATTTGCAAGTGAGGATCCGAATAAGCATATGAAGGAATTCCAAATTGTGTGCTTTAAACCTTTCGAACCTTCACTAGAGGACCTTGTCAAGCAAATGTCTATAAATTATCTTCAGTTTCAGTAACGAACAGATTCCGGTCTTCAGGATTTGCAGACACAGATTGGACAGCTTGCCACTATAGTAAATGCCATGCAGCAAGCTCAAGAATCAAACCAACTACCCGTGTAAACAGTAGTGAATCCAAAAAAGTTATTGTCTAATTTAGTTGATAATATTTATCCTGAGTTGTTATCTTATTTTCTATCTTTATTAGATTATGATGATACTTACTCTTGCAATTTATGTACTGACACTAACGTGTGCTCTATTTGTGTTGAGATTAATGTTGCCTTGCAGGGTGATGCTTTTCATGATGTCGTTTATGCAACTGAAACTCTTGATATCCCGGCTGCCCCGACCATGCCTTCCATTGAACAACCTCCTTCCTTAGAGCTTATACCACTTATGGACAATCTAAAATATGTCTATTTATAGAGGAATGAAAAGTTACCTGTTATAATTTCTTCTAACCTTGATTTTGATCAAGATAATAAACTTTTGCAGGTTTTGAAGAAACATAAGAAGGGAATTTGATGGACCTTGATGGAAGATGAAAGAAAATCAGTAAGGCAACCCCTTAATCCTTTGATCTATGATGTTGTGGAAAAGGATATCATATTTACGTGCCCATTCGACACTTTTATTTATTGAAGATTCTTTTTTTATCCTGGAATAAAAGGCGAAGGCACTAATAAATATTTCAAGATCAATGGATGCTACCCAAAGTTAATTTATGACATCCCCACTTTGGAAGAGGAGCCTGCAGAAGATCTCTCTTTGGGAAAGGCTGCTTATTTGATCACCTATCCACCTTGAATACTCGGATGTGTTCTTTCCTTTCTTTCACTCTTATTTATAATTATGTTCTTTCATTGAGGACAAAATGCATGTTTTAAGTGTGGGGGAGGGAACCATTTCTTTATTTTGTTTTAAATTTTCTTTTGTTTTAGTTTTGTTCTTAAATTTTTTTACTTAGAAACACAATGCATCTTTTGAAATTTCCAGGCTATAGATTAATTTGAGGTTAGATTGTGGAGACTTGGGAAAATTTTATAAGATCGGTACCGTTTTAACACCTTAAGTCTCCCGAATATGGAAATCAATTTAAATATTTGTTATGACATAGCCTTGAGTTCTTATCCTTTAATAGCTCTTAAGTAGTTTATCTAGAAGTCAACACCATCTAGAAACCACACACTAAGTAATTAAGCTAATGCAAATAAGTGAATGATCTCGTGCTTAATAAAAAGTTTAAATAGGAATCCGCCTTTTAAGTTAGGTGACCCTCACCCGGTCACTTAGGCTAATGGTTGTAAAACCTTCAACAACAACAAAAAAAAGCAAAAGTGTTTAATTTTGAATTGTTGAAAATATATGGATCATAGTCACTAACAAGCTTATTTACCATGTGTGTGAATAGATAAAGGGCTTAATGTGATTGCATTAGAATGAAAGAGAGCAAAAAGAAGGATGAGTAAGTTAGGCTTAAATATAATAACATGATTCAAATTGGTTTGTATATGAGGGAGGTTTATGACCGTGCAATTGCGGATTTGTGTTCTTACGATATCCTTAGTGTATAAAATTAGAACCTATCGATGCAATCTTGACCGAAAAAGATTTTACAGCCTAGAATGAGTATCTAAATGCCTTTTTTTTCATGAGTCTTGATAATATTTTGCTCGGAGTGCAAAAGTTTAAATGTGGGAGAATTTGATCAGTACATCTTCATACACATTCTTCCATTGTTATACTTAGGCATTCCTACAGTTTATTTGAGTATTTTTACTATTTTAATGTGTTTTCATATTTAAGTTTGTTTTTACCTTTATTTTATTTTCGCAGCTTATTTTCAACTTTAGCGGTTATTTGATATTTGTCCACTGTTTGAATCATAACTAGAGCTGCAAGAATCAGAATTGCACGTTCTAAAAAGCATTGGAAAGCTAAGATAGAGAGATACAACTTTTATGTTTGAGGAAGAGGATGATTCGAAATGTAGCGGGTCCAAATAATTAGTTGAAGTCAGGACCTGAAATCTGCCGTTTGAAATATTTAGTTTTGGGCCAAGTTTTTTTATGTTTTTTGACCCAGTTAGATTAAAACCAGATGTGTTGGTGCTTTCTTATAACTAGAAGTCGTACTACTGTCACTTTACCTTCTTTTTACGAATTTCATTGTGTTTTGTACGATTTTTATGGAAAACTAATTCTCAAGGCAAATCATGTTGCTTACGGGTTCCATCACTTTAAGGTTATTATAATACCAACTTAATTCGATTTCTGTTCAATTCTTTTCTATGAAATCATTTTCTTAATTTGATTGTAATTGTTTTATTAATTCGATTGTATTCATAGGATAGAATTAATTAAATTCGATTGTATGCATGTTCCTAAATTTAATTGTGTGTTATCGTTTGCTTAATTCGTTAACTCGTCGTATTCTTAACTGTTTGCTTAACTCGGTAACAGAAACATAATTCGTATGATTTTGATAAGTGTTTGTTTGATTAATATCATAATCAAATAGGATTGAAGCCGCTTAGAAATTGGTGTTATAATAGCCGATGATAAGTCGGAATCCGAATCAGTAGGATTAGTCGTTTTAGCTTAATTGACAATCACTTATTTTGATCACTTTTTCTCTTGTTTTATAAATCAAAACTTAAAACCCCCCCATAAACCTTTTTTTTAGTTGGTTGAAATAATACAAGAATTCTTGTGAGAACGATTCTCGAGTTGTCGTTACGTTACTACTGTTTTAAAAAATACTCGTTTTTGATCCGTGCGTGACAGCAGATCACCTAGTTAACCCTCTTAGAAGGTATTATTGTTGAGGTTCAAAATGCCTTGCACTACAGACGCAAAAATCGGGGGTTAGACATACTTAGTAGTTTATGTTCGGTTGTATTACTTTTTGTATTTTCGAAACAAGTTATGTATGGTGTGACTTTTTTTAATGTATGTGTAGCATGTTTGAATCAAATAATGTATTCATTTTTTAACTTATGGTCTAAAAAGACCTAAAATAAGTTGGCCTAAAAAATTTTAAATGTTAGGACACACCCCAAATAATATACGAAAGTATACCTCCAAACCATATTTTGTTCAAAATGGAGTGGTATTGAAAATTACGAAGGCTGTTGTGATTTTAGGTGCGTCTGGAGATGCATCTCCCGACACCACTAAAGGCATTTTTGGATTTACGGTGGTGTTAGGCGCATTCCATTGGGTGGAAAGAGTATTCTCCAAAAAAATATCACTTGACGGAACTCTACTTCAAAAATATCATAATTCAAATCAACATACAATACATGTTTTATATCATAAATTGTTCTGACATTCATCTTATATCTTTACTCTGTATGTTTCGAGATCATAACTTAAATCAACAAATAATATATGTATTACTCAATTTTTTTTTTAGCGTAAAAGTTTAGATGTGATGGGCTCCAGAGTCTCTTCAGAGTCAAGACAAACCTCAAAATAGAAAGAACAATTATAAAAAAATGCATAGTCAAGACATACCTCAAAGTAGAGAGCACTTATAGAGAAGGCAAAAAGCACTTGTTTGAGGAGAAGTTGGTAAGAGAGAAATTAAAGAGAGATAACTTAACTTGTTTGTTTTAAAGAAAAGATAAAGTGAAATTTTAGTGTGGGTCCCATAATTTTTTAATTTGTTGGAATGAGAAGAAATAGAGAAATGTTTTATAAAGAGAGAAGAAACATGTTCCATTTTTTTTTGTTCCAATTTTACCCTTTCTATTATCACTCCTAATATATACTAGTTCTTTTCATCACATCAGGGTCTACCATTTTACTGCAATTAAAGCTTCTTTCTTTTTAGTTTTAGATGGTTCGCCCATAAACCCATTCAAATATTTTGCTCATACTCATTTATTATTGTGTTCAATTGACTTAAACTATCAATAGAGTTTTAATACAAAAAACGAAGGTGTGAGTGAAATTAGATATAAAAAGATGAAGAAGCATCATGGCTGTGTGTTTAGTTTCACTTGCATAGGAAAAAATGTTTTATTATATTAATTAATTGTAACTTATTTCAAAAATAAAACTCACAAAATTTAAATAATTAACTAGTAGTATATTGAGATATATTAATTTATATCTTGTGCTTCTTTTTTTTTTGTCATTTTAATAGATGATACATTTCTCTCTTCTCTATTTCTTCTTTCTTTCTCTTACAATAATCAATACCTCAACTCAAATCTTCTTAATTTCTTACATGTTTCTCTCTTCTTTCGCAATCTCACCTATTTCTCTCTTCAACATTTTCCTACATGTTTCTCTCTTCTTTGACAATCTCACCTATTTCTCTCTTCAACACTTCTCTTCTCTCTTCAAAATTTCTCTTCACCACCAATCACAGAGCAGGCAGACATGACCTTTACTTGGTCTGTTCGGGCATTTAACCATGCATTTAACCATGTATATAATTTTTAAAATTTCAAAACAACATTTAAGAAACATGATCTCACTCTCTTTCAGTTACACATCAATTACATTAGTTAGTTTGAGAAGGAGAATATTAATTATCAAATTCATAGATATTCATTATTATCTAGAGAAATCCAGACACTTTTTAAATCATAAATTGCACATACCAATCTGAAACGGAATAGATGCATTACAAAAGCTAACACCAACTTCCACCAAACCAGCACAGATTTAAAAAACTTAAAACACTAGGGCCAAGATATAAAATTTTGCCAATCACAACTAAGTCCCAAATTCCAGAGATTTCCCATATGACCATGTACCCCAACGTATATAGCAATATAATAACACCAACAAAATGCAAAGGAAGCTTGGGTCATATATGATGAAATTGAGCATAACATCGTCTAAGCACGAAAATTCAAGGTACCAGTTCTTAAATCTTGTCAAGCTTCTCAGCTTTGACAACTGGGTTTGCTTTAGCTATGGCATCTCGTGCAGCAGTGCGATAATCAAACTGGCAATCATGCTTGTCTGAGTAGCGATGCACAGCACAGAAAAGGTTACCACATCGACAATTGAACCCTGTCAAACCAACTCGCTTATTGCAGTTGCTGCAACGCTTCGGACCATCCTTTGGCTTGGCATCACCACTCTCCTCTGAAGAGGAGTCAAATAAAAATGGCTTGGAGATAGTTTTTGGTTCCACTGAAATGGCTGGGATATCCATGTTGGCAGCAACAACAGGTTCTTTTTCAGTTTTACTTGTAGAACCATTCATAATACTTCCAAGGGATGATGCTGCAAGCTGGGCCTGCTCCTGTTTCAACATCATGTCTTTGTGGCACTTCGAACACATGTTCATCGTAGCTGCACTTCCGAAAAATCCACAGTTGTTAATGCACAATATAGGACCTTCAGGGGGAGCTTGGCATTCGGTCTTTTCATGATCCATTTTTTCAACTTTCCTGCACCAAAGAGCCAAAGATTAAAATACCACTAATATAATCTTTGTATAAAATGATATAAAGAGGAACTCAAATTGCACTACAAACACTTAATTTGGACTCAAACTCATACATACGCAATTGAAAAGACAAACATAATAATATATGCCACGCAATAAATAAAAAACCGAACCAGCATTCAATTTCAACAGGAACTTTTAAATTATGATTCATCCCAAGCTTAACAAAAAAATCCAACCGACCAACTCATCAATTAAGCAAACATAATAAAACAATGGTAAACTAAAAAGACTTAACAAAAGGATGCATCAATTCCCATAACTAGGACAAGAGACACTGGGAAAACAGAGGGCCTAATAGAGAAAACAGAGCATGTCTCTAGTAGCAGGAAAAGACAGCTCGGCGGGAAACATGAAGCAGTGAAAACTTTGCAAATTCATGTTGAGACTTCCAAAAGGCAGAGGTTGATGGACATAATATCACGAGGGTCTCTGCCGCGTGAGAATGAATTGCAAGTAGAGGACGATGGAAATATGTTTCCAGGACAAGGGTTTCAATTTTCAACCGATAAATCCAGAAACTTAAAAACTAGGACATGTACACGATCCACAACACAAGTGAGTTTATGAATTACAGACAACTGTACAAGTAAGCATGTAGCAGCTGTGAACAAAATTTGGTTCATGCATGTTGTGAATTCAAAAAGGCAGAGGGTGATGACTGAATATCACAACGGTCTCTGCTGCTTGAGAATGGAATTGCAAGATATAGAGAATTATGGAAATATGTTTACAGGACAAGGTTTCATTTTTCAACCAATAAATCCAAAATCATAAAAACAAGGTCATGAGTCCGACCCACAAGTGAGATTGTGAATAATGGACAACTGCACGAGTAAGCACAGCAGTGCTGGGAAGTCTTGATTTTCAATTATGCCCCAATTAAGGATCGCAGAAGGTTAAAAAAGTAATAAAATTGCACTATCTTACAATTCAGGATGCTATTTTGACTACCATGCTTAGGAGAGGACATGTATGCAATCAATGAAATCAATGCAAAATAGAGTGGCTGGCTTCTTTTAAAACACACATGCATGATGATAAATTTCCTACAGAAATTAATCCATTAAAATTAGCAGCATTATTTAAAAAGATGAAAAGTACACAATTGGTCTCACTTACTAATTCCCTTTCCTTCTGATTAAGGAATTTAGTTGTAGAAACCAGAATTGTATTAAAATAACATAGAACCCCCCATTAGGACTTTAGCCGTTTCAGAAAGCTTTTTTTATTTTCTGGTGCATACATAATTACATCATTTCAACTAGTACTCGGTGCCTGTTTACCCAAGGTATCAAACATGCCACCTTCCCTGGCAATATACAATAAGAAATAGCCACATCCTTTTCTCAAGATTGTAAAGATAATAGATCATGAATCCTATGCACTTACATGAAAACTTTCATGATCAAAAGCAATTACCACAAAACAAAATGCATTTGACAACAAGATTGTACAAAATTTAGAAAACTAATATCACATCATATCATATCATATCATATCATCTACCTATTAACAAACAGAGAACCACATCAAACAAAGCCCTAAAAGCATTCAAAACAACAAGAGCAAAAACCTCCAAAAGCTATGACCACAACAGTAACAAACACGAACTGAACAATATAGTAGCATCAAACAATTGAGCTCACCACTGTAAATTTTAACGAATTCAACAAAAATTCAACAACACACCACCACGTCTTCGAGAAAAAGGACCACGTGGGCAACACAACTCTATTCAATGTCCATAACTGCAAACGATACTTCCAATTTCCACCAAATTATAACTCAGATTCCTTCACATATAACACAATAATCAAAACCAAACAAAACCACTACAAACAAATCAACATAACACGTCTAGAACCGAAAACTTGAAAACAAAACGATAATCTAACCTTTTGGCCACGAAAAAAAATCTAAAAAATTTTGTTCAAAAAAATTCCAGGAAACGAAACCTTGACACGGATCTACAAGCTTCGAATCGCACCGATCATGAATCCTGGATTCGTAGAAGAAAAAAATAGAGCATGCATGGATGTTAATAATCGAAGGAAATATAAAAGATTACCGATTGAATAAAAATCGAAAACGAGAAAAGGGTAAAGAAACCCTAACCCTAGGAGATTTGGGATGAACGAGGAGAGAGAAACCAAAGGCGATAGAGAGAGAAAGAGATGCGTCGTTTATGTGTGTCAGTGTTCCGTATTTAAAAGGACCTTTTACTGCTTCTCTTTCTGACAACTAAGTATGTATACTGAATTGTGGCGACGTGGGGAGTTATAATTGGTAGCGCGTGTTACTTTTATATTCTCCGTTTTGTCCCTTTCTCCCTTATTATTAACGATTTTGCCAACTTTGGGTGTATTTAATATTCTCTATATTAAATTATAAAATTCATTTTTTACATTATGTTTCTTAATATTTGTATAAATTTATTAAATTTAAGGCTAACATATTTCATATTTATTTATACTTAAAATTTTGATTTAAATATAGTTTTTACTTTTTATTAAATATTTTTTTATTAAATTAAATCGCCCAAATATTTCATTTGATTATTTAAATGTTTGTTTGATTTCTATTTTGTAAAAAAAAATGTTCAGAGTGAGCAATGTGAGGCTCGCTGAGGATGGGTGAATACATTTTGCCGTCTAGAGTTGAAGATTCTAATTGTTCATTGATCACACTGAGTGCTCGTTAGATGCAACATTTGTCTATTGATCGCATCATTCGCCCTCTATTAGCTTTGGTCAAACCATTTATCACCTATTCATGAAACGTGGAGTTTGACATGTTCTTGGGCACTAAATTGTGGAAGCTCAATCAAGAGAAGTCACGTTCCCCTAAAGAATATGGGTGATAATGATTTCCATACTCCTAAGATATGGGTGGAATAATCACCCATAGAATAAAAAAATACAAGTTCAATAGACTTTTATAAATACATCAACCACGAGATTAGGGGTCATTCAATTGACTTAAGATTCACATATATAGAGGTTATCACCACTATACGCGAGTTTGCTCTAACACCATCATTAACCCTAAAACCCCATACATAGAACTCAAGGTACATGGTTATCTTTGTCGTACGTTTTTAGCAAGCACAAATTTATTTTGACGTGTTTGATTATTCTAAAGTTGAATCATTATATTTTTTTATAATTAAAGTTATGATTTGTAGTTTTTTAGTTTAAACATGATTTTTACGATGAAATTTATCGTTCAACTCGATTTTGCATGAATGTATCAAAATATAAATCACTTTTAATCAAATCAATTCTCTCAAAATCAATTTTCATCACCGTAAAAACCAAATGCATGCTAAGTTGAACAATTTTACCAAGTTGGTACTTTTAATTTTATTTGTGTCAAGTCAGCCCTTTTTTGTCTAGCGAATTAATAGTCAGAATTTCATCTTTTATGGTGAATAGGTGAAATTTTGCAAGTAAAAAAAAACAAAATTTATCATAAATGTGTAGAAATGTGTATCGGTATAATTGTATTAGGTCATATATGAGATAAGTTTATCAGGTTTGGAAGAAAGGCATTCAGAGGAAACAATACGAGACTCATTGAGGATGGGTGAATACCTTTTTCTGTCCATGATTGGGGGTTTTAGTTGTTCATTGATCACAATGTGCGTTCTTTGGATGCAACACTTATCCATTTATCGCATCATTCTCCCTCTATTGGGCTTGGGTCAAACCACACGTCGCCCAGTAATGAAACGTAGAGTTTGACGTGTTCTTGGGCACTAGCTGTAATGTAACACCCTAATCCCCGACTCGACATTTAATAAAAAAATTCAAATAAAAATCACATATTAGAGTGTCACGCATGTATTGTAACAACCCAATTTTTTAATAATTAATTATTCATGTTAATTAATTTATTTATTTGGATTGTTTTAATTATTGGAATTATTAGTAGATATTTGAGAGGAGAACTTATGGAAGGAAATAGAATGGAAAGAATATAAGGAAAAGTAGAAAGAAGAGGAAAAGATAGAAACATAAGAGAAAAGAAGAGAAAGAAAGAGGAAGACGAGAAAAGAGAAGGAGAAGAAGGAAAAGTTTGGAATTATCAAGAACAACTCCTAGCTTCCGATTTAATCAAGGTAAGGGTGTGAAATGTTGTTATTCTACCAATGTCTATGATTATGTATGATTGGTTTGGATTGTTTGGATGTTTTCTCCATTTTCCATTCTAGGTCATATATGAGTTTAATCGGTAGAATCAAGGTTTTAACGGTTGGAATCGAGAATAAAGTGTGTAGTTTAGTCGAAGATTGTTAGACTAAGACTATAGGAACTGGTTTGGTGAGAATCGGTTGATTTTGTGAAGAGTTGAGGATTTATGACAGTGAGAGTTTTTGAGTTCGTAGACACTCGCTAGCACATTCGTTAGGCGAGCGGCTCGCGAGTGTTCGCTGCAGCGAGCTAGTACCGAGTAGTTAGCGAATGGTCCCAGACTAAGACATAATACATTTGATCTGGTTCGCTGGTAGCGAGTAGGTAGCGAACGAAGTCAGTAGCTTCTGTTTGTCTTCGCGAGCTTGTTCGCTAGGCGAACAGATAGCGAGTATTCGCTAGGGACTCGCTAGGCGAGCAAGCCAGAGAGCGTGACATCTTTTCATTTTCTTTGTGATTCCATCCGATGTTGATTGTTTGGTTCGATTATGTTCGATCCTTATCGGAATGAATAGTTATGTGATATGTTGTGGGTAGCCGTAAGGCGTGAATCCTATATTGTGGAATTGATTATGAAATGTGGTCTTTTGACAAATATATGCATTGTTTAAATTGATTAAAAGTGCATGATGAATGTGATTGAGTTCATTGTCGTTGGCACGATGTTATTAACAATGCATGAGAACATATTGTGAATATGTGTGCATTGCTTATAATTGTATGTGAATAATG